TCATGCGTCCGAACTGGGGTTTCCTTGGACAAATGATGTTTGCATCGTTAGCATATTCATTATCCATCGCTCACTTCTAGAGACGCGAATATTCACTTACGTGGCCTATACATCGTGTGAACGTTGAACAGACAACACATTCAAATATGTGTTCTGTCCCAATCGGTTTTGCATGTTGCTACTACAAAAACCACGCAACTAGGAACGAATTTTCAGCATGCTACGTAATCAGGGAAACGACCAGGCCTCCATTCGCAGTTTGTCTCCAAAGCCAAGGAAAAACAACCGCGGTGCTCACAAGTTTCCACGTGCTATCGACCGGAGCTCGTCGCTCCTCGCGACCCGGCGCCCCGTCGACCGGGGCTTGACCCAGCCCCACTCACCCCCACCCCCTCCGCGGCCTCGGCACCCGCACCACGCCGCGGCGGCGTGCCGCGCAGTGCGACGACGCCCGATTCGGTGGCCCCAGGCGTATCGACCAGCGTCGACCGGGACGCCGCTGGCCCGCCGCCGGTCGTGGCCAACGCACCCCAGCTCCGCCGCTCCGGGCTGCCCGGTGACCACGTACGGCGGCGACGGGGGCGGACCGGCGCCCATCCCTTCCTGCTGATAGACGCCGCGCCGGAAGCCGGCCGGCCACCTCGACCGCGGAACGATTGCACGGTGTGCGAACGTGGCGCAGATAGGCAAATGCGAGCGACTCTTAGTCGCCTGCGGAGTGCGGTCGGAAGTTGGCCCGCGCCATACGGATGTTATGGCTCTCCAGGATACGAGGGTGGAGAATGCGGTACGGCAGATGTGGCGTTGGCCACAGCAACTTTAAAGCTGGTATACCGTATATGGCTGGTATACAGTGACAATAAGTATCTAAACTGACTTAAATATGTATTATGGCAGTGACCATAATGTTTAAGCCAAGCAATAACACAATATATTGGTCAGTTCGGTAGATACAGGCATAGTTGGAAACGCCGTGTGCACCATAACTGAAGCTCTTTCCATCAATCAGCATGGCTCCATGGTGCATGTGCTAGCAGGAAGTCGGCACACGACGGAAGAAAGGTGGTATCATTTTTCGGAGCACCCGGCGTTGCTACACAATGCCCTCATATTATCACCAACAAAAAGTCATGTTTATTTATGTTTGACAAACTCATGGCATCTGATTACAAATTACCACCACATGACTTTGGAAGATGTACGCGAATGACAGGGGACATTTTCACCTCCACCATGAGGAACCGGCTCAAGGGATCACATTGCTTGACCTTTCCGAGACCTTTCGTCTTTCTCAGGCCCGGCAGCTCTGTTTCTGGATTTCTTGGCCTTAAATACTCGTAGACTGTGACGATATTTAGGATCATATATCATCCAGGGCACCCAGGTTGTGAAAGCGCACAAAAGGTCTGGCCATTTGGAGTTCAAATTAACGTGACAAGTTCACAAGTTCGGACAAGTTTATGAACGTAAATAACTTTGAAAATATTTATTGTCATGCATTATCAAGAAATGAATGTTCAGCTCGCATGCAACATACGACATACACTGGCCATCTGGCTACGGGCGGCGCCACGGATTTTCAGTGGGGGGAGAGGATTTTCAAGGGAGACTCCTGGACAAAATGGGGGGGGGGGGTTCTCAAAGGAGGCTTCCTGGACAGTACTGTATCTAAGGGGAGGGTCTTAACCATTTTCATCAGCAAATTTGGCATGCACTTAAAGAGCATAAAAATGTGCATTTATAATCACCACTTACGCTGCCACGCTTGTACCAAATGCTCATATCGGGATATGATGACAGGTGAAACATCTTTTTTAAAATTGAAAATGATATTCACCTTGATAAAAAATGATAAAACCTTGATAACCTTGATAAACCTTGATAAAACCAATGATAAAACCTTCACCTCTGCTTTGTTTTTCAGTTCACTCCACTCCACATGTTTTCATTACTTTCACTGATTTGTTTCAATTCACACATCTATTTCGGGACTAGTCATGCCAACGTGGGCAATGGACACCGGGCCGGTGCAGACACGCATAACTGACTTAAACAAGCATAATTGATTTGAAGCCAATGATTCAATCAGCATTTCGTCTCTCGCTAATCAGAATGATCCATATGCTCACGAACACTTTTTCCAGGGGACCATCTATAAATCAAAAATTACGTAAGGCACGCCAGTAAGGTTGGTCACGCATGGCGGGAGGAGGTTCGATGGAATGTAACCATCGCGCGACAAGGGGGGCGGATGCACAGCGTAACATTGCGCTCACATTACGCGCGGTTGGAAATTATGTATAAACAGTTAAAATGTTTAGCAGGGTGACCATGAGGATGGAGGCTTTCGCCCAGCGTAATCAGTGAGCAGCCTGAGAGGAGGTTTGAAAATTGGCCCAAAAAGCAAAGCAGCTTGGAGTGGGAAAGGGGTTAAAAAAGCCGGAAAATGGGTGACGTAGTTTATAGATACCGCCCTGAGGCTTCGCGACGATTCTTGTTCCCTGAAACGTTATGTTAGGGTTGCCTTCCATCCACTGAATGGGTTCCCCCCCCCCCCCTTCTCCCACATGTGCGTACGTATCTCTTCACACTCTTTGCGGCTGGCCCCTCGTAACAAATGCCACGATCGAAGTAGACGCCATCTGTGTCGCACAACTGCGTCAATATCTCCTAAAGCCGTTATCGTTGCCCCATTTGTGGGGAGGGAAGCACCAAGCGACGGCTCAGAATACGAAACCATGACGTGAAGTCAGCTCCAGAACCAAACACTGTGGTGTGCGTTGAACCTCGGCTACGATCCAATGCAACGGAGCGCCCAACTTCAAAGTGAGCTGTAGCTCAACTTGGCGGCGTCTGCGCCATCGTGTCACGTCGGACCGGGCATGCATTATGTCACGCGCATGCGTAATTTAACACACACACGTGGTATATCGTTGGTCTGCATTGGCAACCTCAAGTAACTAGCGCAGGACCATATAAATGGTTGGTCTTTCCCTCGGGCTTCGTGGTGAGTGAAAGCAATTTGGAGTTGCCAGGCATACCGTGCTGGGACTTGCCTTGATGGTTACTACCCAGCCGGAGCAGGGAGCGTAAATCAAGGCCGTGTGTATCGTGTAGACGTGACGGCAAGCCATCTAACGGACCCGAAGACTACGGCCAGTTGACATCACTTGGTGGAAAAAACATGTTTTATTTTCACCTTGAGTGAGTAACTGAGAAGCAAAGAAGGTGGAAATGTCGAAATATCGAACTGGTGCAACGATGTGACAAACCATTTGTCCCATACAAGTCGGTTTGCTATCGTCAGTAGCCCTCACAGTATCTATGATCAATGTTCCTATTTACAGTTCACATAGCGGACCTTTGATAAGCAGGAACTAGCCCCACCCAGCCGCTGACAATGTATGTGCTTCTCACTAGACAATCGGGAAAAGCGAGGGACTTTTCTGACTAGCAAAGACACGGCGAAATGGCGACTGGCAGCGTCGGAGGCCACTGCGGCACATTGCCACGGGCTGTGACAGACGAGACAAGAAGAACACTTATGGCATAAGAAAAAAAAAACATTTTTCCACAAAATATCATGACCAATATCAAATAGACACCAAAATAACCTCACAAATAGCATCCACCGCTGAAAGGCATTGCGAGGCTGCCATGCACAGCGCGCTCACTGATCAGCCACGCGAGAAGACCAATCACTGGCGCTTCGACAAAGCTGCGGCATAGCATGGCCATTTCGCCACACGGACTCGTCCACATATCAACGAAGCCTACATACCACCCATGCACCATTCACCTAATGTACCAATATTGTGCAAACCATCAAACTCACTACTGTTCTCGTACTCCAGCCTCTCACAACATTTTTCAACGAACGTTTAACTCAGAGTTTGCCTTCTTCCACCCTTTGAAAGCAAACTGAAAACCGCTTTTATATAAAAAGCAAGGTTTGTCTACGAACGTAACCAATTTGGGGGACTTACCACCTCATGGGTGTATTTGACTTAAGTTTTTGAAGACAGTATTTATCTACATTTACGAACATGTCGCTAACCACTCTCTTCTCGCGGAAAAACAAAAGGGGTATCGACTAGGATGCAACACCCAACTACAGGGAATCCACTTAAGCCACAACCGCCACGAGCCACTGGAAACACAAAATTTGACTGCCTCATGCTTGTACATTTGTAACTATTTTGACAAAACATGGCACAAAGGTACACAACATGGAACAAAAAAGGCGCATGAAGGTGGCGATGAATTCGGAATAATCTTGTAATCGCCGGTGCATCTGTGAGGTCATTAACCAGTAGCGTAGGATCGTATTCAACTAGGAAGGAAGGGACCAAGTCCATCAAATTGGAGCCCCCTCCCCCCCCCCCGCCGCTTACAGAAGAGACCCAAAAACGTGCAGTTAAGTTTTCCCACGTACAGAGTTTTACTATCCCTACGGCATCATGTCCATGCGCAGCCCTTCCCAAGAAATACAGGCAGCAAAGCAAATCGTCAGAAAAACTCAACGATATGGGGAACATTTGTCTTCCATGTCTGCTTCCATTCTCCTACGTAGCCTTCAGATACTACAGCCAAATGGGAAGGGACTAAATTTATGTCACTTCTCTGCAATTGGTGACGTAATCAATTCCAGATCTTCATAAAATCATTCACTTGGTGCCCCAAATATATCAGTATTTGTGGCACACGAGGTTAATCGACATCGAGTTAGCTCCCAGGCCTAGTTTTGCGAAGCCACTCCTCTGTCGTTAACGGAAATTTCAGTACACTGACAGTGCGAACGCGAACAGTCTTTGAGGCTCACCTGACAGCAAAACAGATGGCCCAGAGATGATGGATTAAATCCATCTCAATTACCGCAACACGCAACTCTCTCGTGCCTTGGACGGAGCCCGGCACAACTAGACAGCCATCCCAGAGCCGTAGTCTAGCATCAGTGGCTCGTCCTCCCGGAGTCCCCGGGCCGGGGCGGCGCCGCTTACCGAGCATCGGCAGCTTCACGCGTCGACGGTCCAGGAACAGTGAATTATAAAAGATGACGTAGCAGAAGACGCAGCAGACGACGGCGACGAGCAGGCGGCGGATCGAGCTATCGGACCGCACGTCCATGGCGGCCGGCTGGCGGCCCCCGGGCGGCCCGACAGCCGGCGGCGGCGTGGCGTGGCGCGCGCGCGCAGGTGCCGATCGCCAATGGCGGCGTCACCTCCGACGGCAGCACTGGGGGCGGCCTGCGCGCCGGACAGCGGCCGCGCTATCCGGAGCACGTCGCCGCGTCCGTCGCGTCGCCATTGGCTGTCCACGTCGACTGGCGCCGCAACGGGAGGCGACCGTCCGCGTTCTCGGGCAGACCTGACGCTGTGAAGACCGCCGCGACCCCTGTCGGCGGCGGCGGGTGAGCGGTAATGAGGACCGGAAGCGCACATGCATAGCGACGATCGTGATGATTGGACATTGGGTAGTGTTTGTGGAAAGCTTCCGCTGATCATGGTTTATGACAGCCCGGGCGCCGTACGGTACGCGGGCCTTTGTTGGGATGTTCATGCGCATGAAGACCGTGCTGGGAATTATCGGTCGCCCAACTGATAGCTAGGGATGTTTGACGCAGCCAGCATTGACGCGGAGTGAAGCACGGCGCCCGAGAACAGTGCCGAAACGAAGAGCTCACTGGCATGCCGGTAACACGCTAATTCACAGATCACATTGCTTTGGAATTGGTTGGCGACAAAAAGCGATCTGGGGCTCGGTAACATCAGCCAACGAAATCAATGAATTTTAATCGGTTTACGTTTGAAATAACTGTAACTCAAAGTGCTGACGGCAATGCAGCTTATTTGGACACACATTGGTCGCAGCCAAGTGCGCAACACCGACGTTGTTTTCATGCAGGCATTTCTAGGTTTAGACCCTATTGAGAAGAACAATAGTTCTAGCGAGTGAATCCTATAAGCACGAAGGTGTTTAGTAGTACTATGTAAAACGTACGGGTGGGCATATCGTAAAGCAGCCATAGCACTATGACTTAATATTACACCGTAGCACCGTGCGTATGTATATACACACACACACACACACACATATATATATATATATATATATATATATGCTGTTGGGATGTTCATGAGACGGTCTCCCTCTTCGTTGATCTATGCGTCTATATCACTCGCTCATAATCATTTGCTTAACCGATAGCATTGACATATCCTTCCCAAGCTCAGTTATCCGTCTCAGTATCTGTCGCTCCACTTATCCTAACCCACTCGGCATAGCTATGCTTCGCCGAATGCTTATGAATCCTACATCACTCACCGACACTTAAGTCAACAATCATTGGCGCATGCCTCTGTTTCAGTGCCCTGACTCGCCGTTGGTTAGTGTAGTCTCTCATGTTCCAGATGCCCTCCAACCCTTAAATCTCTACCAATGCAGTATGCAAACGTCACAACCCCAGCCTCGTTTCCTCCTCACTAGCACAGCTTTTATCTCGTGATACTGTGGTCACTGCTATCCCTCGTCCAGGAAAATGTCATAACTCCGTGATTGCTGAACTGGATCTAACTCTACACTTTTGGTTATATCCCAGGGAACAACACTGGTATGGTTCTTTCCTTTCATACACAAGTAAAACATCGCTGTGATTGAGGAACCACGATCGATTTACAAATCACCGCGCCAAGTAGAATCTCCACCCCTCTCACTAAAAAAGATAATGGCCTCCCGTCATCTGGCTCAGATCCATGTGCGCGTACGTGTTGGCAGAAACCTGCATCGATCACCTTACGAGGCCTGACCCATCCCTCTCTGCCACAATGCCCCACCCCCACCCACCACGGACACCATACCGGGCGGCCGTGGCACAAGGCCCGTCGGCCAATGCGTGGGGCTATCACGAGTGCCGGGCGACACCAAATAATCAATATTCGTGGAACTAACCAGATTCACTGATCATTTGAAACTACCTACACTGTATATCGCAAGACAGAATCCGTATGCGGATTCCCGCGCTCATTTAGTGATACCACACCTATGCTGGCCTGTCCAACAGCCAGCCAGACGCGCCATACGGACAACCGGTCCCAAACGGCTGGGCCTGGCCACGGACATCCGGCGGCCAGCCACGGTTCCACGCTGTCCCACGGTTGCGCGGCCCCGATCATGGCGCCCCAGCGGTCACGTGACGGCCACCGGCTATGAGTCGGCCGAACCCAGCGTCACGTCAAGGACACTGCAGGTGCGCGGGCCAGGTGCGCGCGCAGCCTGGCGCTCCTGGCGCTATATGCATTGGAGTACATCAACCACAAGCAGCGTCAGCTACAGTGCGACGGCGCGCTATGCCTTGGCACGTCGCATCAAGCTGACCGCCACCTGTGCATGCGACGTGGCACGGCACGGCGCACGACGTCCAACATCACACGACGGTGGCCCGCGTTCACCGTGGCTAGTCCGGAACGATGTTTCGCCTGTATGGATGAGGGCCCACCACCCGGCCCTCGGTCCCTGAGGACGCAGAAATTTAACTGCAGCTTGCGATTCATTGCGTTCACGCACGAGACAACACATGCCAGCGATCTTAACTCAAGCGATCTGGCACAAGCGAGGGGCTCACGTTCACCTGGTTCAGGTGATCTGGCATGAGGACAGACACACACGGCTCAGGTGATCTGGTATGAGCGACAGGCTAACACTCGGCTCGGGTGATCTGGCACAGGCGAGGGGCTCACGCTCACCCGGCTCAAGCGGTCTGGCACAAGCGACAAACTCACACCCGGCTCAAGCGATCTGGCACAAGCGAAGGCTCACGCTCACCCAACTCCGGCGTCGCGGCTGTTCAGGCTCGGGGAGGTGTATGAACCTGCTGCGGTGTGCCAACACCATTCCGCCGCCACCCTCGAGCCAGACCGGGAAACCGAGCCCCCTGCTGTTGCCAGGACAACGGTGGGCCACCAGCCTCGAATACATTAATAATGGTCCTTTTGACCGGTAACACGCTGGAACAACAACCCCTTGCACGGTCGGCAAAAACTCGAACAAAAAAACTGAGCATCAACGGTCCGCGTGCGCCACTATGGAGTCATTTTAAGGCATGAGGCGCATCAAGGCCAGCATCAGCCAGAGGACCGGCCACGAGGCCGACATAAGATGGAAAGGGCTATGGCGTAACGGTTTACCTGCTTGCGGACACAACTTATCGACAGCGGTAGGCGCATAACCCACGCGTGGTCATCACTCCAGATACTTCAAAGCATGTCCAAAATGTTTCTCACCACACTTGCACCTTACATCCCCTTGTTCATCTTCCGTCTTTCGGAGGTGTAGTCTTTTTCATTTTCATCAGTCAGCACCCCTAAGACACCGCCGTCCCGCCAAGGTTCGTGGCACAATCGAAACACAAGCACTTGGGGCAGCCAAGGCGGGAAAACGGCCTGACAACGAGCGCGGCGGCAGCCGTGGTGTACGCAGCGTCGAAGGCACGGTTAACAGATCACCCAGCGCCTCGAACGCGCCATAGACGCGCGCCACGGGTAACGCCGGCAAACGTGTGAAAGCGTTCGATTTGTGATGTTCATGGAGGCGCGGACCTCTATCGGCTTTTTGCGTACTAGGCAGATGAGCGAGTCCACCATCCGATTCCTCTGGAATTCCCGGCCGCACCACATCACCTGACCTGGCCCTAACAGACTCATGCCAACGAGACGAAATCCCGCCGTTGAGTCTGGCTCATCGATGGATGGTCAATAATGTCAATCCAATGTGTTATCACACTAGTGCGCCCAATATGCTTTTAGATCAATCACGCTTTTAGACTTCTCGAGGCTGGGAACAGGGCCTGACTTTGGGACTCAGGCAGGTTAGAATGTTGGAAGTCCACACGCTCGTCAAACCAACCGAGCGCAGTAGGGCTGCGGAAACTAGATGACAAGGGGACAAGCCCCTCCGTACGGTTCTGAAGTTCATACTATGGGTGCAGACAGAATGGCATACCACCGAAATGGGTGTCCCTCCCCCTCTCCACCTGGGAAGACTTTGAGATGGCAGTCGCTCCAGCGGCGCAGCAGTCCTCGGCGCCTCTGGTAATTATCCCTCCAACTGCGCCAGTGCGCCATGCTCGGGAAGAGTGACATAGCTGGTGGTGATGTTACGAATCACAATGAGCACCGATGAGCCAGAAATCCCTCGACGCTCAGATGAAGACAAAACATCTGAGTAAATCGACCGGCTGTGATCAACGAAGAAAGTTTGTTTTCATCAAAGGTGGCCCGAGGCACAACAAAGCGGCTTTATGCAAAATGGCGTGACCCGACACCTCCAGATGGAGGGCTATAGCCCTAAACTTTTGGCGTTTCGACGTTTTGAATTTGGAGTTCTCATGTTGAGAATAATCGGCCTGCATATAGGGTACCAATCGTTGGTGAAGTAATAGCGATAATTTCAGGCACCAAATGTACCACCATTTTAGGGAAATTGTATGCATTTCCCCAGTCCTGTACTCATTTTATGACCACATCACTGAGGGGGGAGGAGGTTAGGAGAGCATTAGGGGGCTTGAGCCCGCATGGGAGAGGGGGCTATGCGTGGCCGTCACACGGGTGGCGTCCGCGGAGCCCCACCCCCAACCCTACCACAAAAATATGTAGTGGCTACCCTTCTTTGCGCTACAAAGGCGGTCCAGCCATCCCGATGTGCTGAACATTTTCTGGCAGCCCTGTTTCAGCTCCTGGTGACTTGTCAAACATATGGTCTTGTTTTCCGCATGGTGCAAAATGGTCCTAAAACCTCCAAAATCATGTCACTACCAGTGCAAGGCCGACGACAGACACTTCCAATTAACCACTGTAACACAGTAGAGAGCATGAGGACGGACATGGCGAAATTGACTTATCTTAGCTCGCTGGCTATCAGCGTCGCGCAGCATCCCTCGAAATTGTGTCAGTTGCCGAACCTCCCGCAGATATGGCGCCGTGCCAACGAGCCTCCCCCAGATCCAGCGCCGTGCCAAAGGAAGGGCACCGACATCGCGCGACCGCCACAGGGGCGGCGTCCGCGCAGGCAGAGAGAAGACGAGGAGGCGCTGCCGGACGCCGACAGCAGGCCTCATGGGCGTCCTGGACGCCGGCAGCAGGCTTCGTAAGCATCCCGGATACCGACGGTAGGCCTCGTGAGCGTCTCACATGCCGACCCGTTTCCCGGAGACCGACCGGCGGAGCCTTCGAGCCAGCAGACGCCGCGCAGGGAACGACCCGATCCGCAACACCGAACATCTTCCGGCGCCTGATGATGTCGACTCGCGCACTCGCCCGGCGGAACGGCCGGCCCGACCGGCAGACGACAGACAAGGGTACGACCTTCGCGGGACCAGCGCTCCATGAAACCAGCAGCAGAGGCTGCCTCCGGTCCGGCGTCAGCATGGGGCGAAGCGGCGCGGCGGCTCGAGATGCAGGGCGCGCAGAATCTTGTTTAGTCCTTGATCCTCAAACTTTTTAGCAACAGCACTCCAATATTTGTGAGGCTTCATGCACAGTCTTCAAATCGACTGGTCAGGCCTCCAGACCAAGAAGAAGTTTCGTTATGTCATACGTGGCACACGCACTTTAATGTTGTAACAGGGGTGTCGGTTGGTATTCTTGTAAATACCTGCCGTCCCCTGCCCCCTCCCCAGTCGATGTGAGCGACGTTGTTGGCTTGGGCCTTTTTTGCTGAAAGAATAAAAAATGAGGAAAATCTAAGCATCACACAAAGCGTATGCCATTTGGGCGCTCCTTGCTGGCCAGGACCACCACGCTACTCAAATAAGAAGTTTCATAGATGATAGAAAAAGTATGAGTGAAAACTGTCGTTCGACAGACTAAATTTTCTTAATCCGTTGAGAACCACACATTTCGAAGGCATGTCGTGACGGCTCGGTTCCCCCCCCCCCCCCCCAACCATTAAGCCAAATCGACGCCCTCGTTGTAAACGTCTCCTTTTATTGTCATGCTTATTGTCGTGAAATGACTTAGTCAGCTTTCGCAACGTTCCCTGTTGTCATACCGTTGCAGCAGTATGCCCTGGGTTAGCTAAATCATTTTACTTTCAGTTCAAAAAGGGACACTGAAGATTGGTGCACTAATGCATCCCTCCATCATTCGAAACAAGCGTAATTTTACATGAACACCATGCTGGTTATCCTATGCATGCCTGCTGCTCGCATAGCCCCTTTCTGCCACGCTTCCGTCACGACCTTGTAATATGGCCATCATGGTGCATACGTGTTGGATGGCTAACGATCGAGATTGTCAAGGACGCAACGTTTAGGCGGAGGCAGCGTGTCGTCCGGAGAGATGAAGCGAGTAGCAACTGGGTCGGGGAGCAGACGTGATTTTCTTTCGGCCTCTGTTCATGCAACGGCCAAATGGTAATGTTGGCTTTTCCAGAGACGGGGTGGATGACTCGCTGCCCCTTCCCAGCTTGCACCGTACCCGCGTTTGAGTAACGGGAACTTTGGAAACAGCACCCAAAGTTAATAAAAATCTTACCCGGGCGCGAATAGGAGATGAGCATTTGGAGCAAAACGCTTCTTTTCAGATCATATTGTTCGGAATGCTTGCAGAGGGATGCGTAAGACTCAAGCAGACATTGGAGACTTGTTGAACACGGGAAGTTCCTCTGCAATGCGAGTTTCTTTAGAGTTGTTTGTCTTTTTACAACTAAAAGGGCAACAGGTATTACTACCACGCGTTGCTACATCAAACCAAGAGACAAGAAATATGACTGGTTTATAGCAATACAGCTAAGTATTACTAGCGATGTGCTGTTTACACCCGATCACTCACACGATCAACTTGTCCAACCCAGGTCCATGACAACGTAGGTGACAGGGTAATACGAGCCAGGGGCTGCCATACATAGGTTTTACCATAAGCCGGGTTTTCACCCACTCTGAACAGGGTGGTGACGTCACTGGTGCTGAAACTTCAGCGCGGCGCGGCTGCGAGTCGTGGGCCTAGAGCTGTGTTGCTGCCAGAACATCGGAAATCTTCGTATCGATACAAACCAACTGTTAAAGATGGGTACATATGACAAGCGAGCCAATTACGTATAACTCAATGACGAGTATGGTGGTATGCTTTGCGGGCGTATGCCGCTAGCCACTAAAACGCAATGACGTGAAAAATGGAGTGCGTACACCCGAGAATTATGCGAGAGAGGACAGCCAGAAAATCGCGCTTGCCTCGCACCGATAATGAGCAAAGTGTTAACGGCAGGCGCATATGGCCAGGGAGCTAATCACGTAGAATTCAATTTAAAATATTATGATGCACCTTGCAAGCTTGTGCAGCGAACCATTACAGGGAAATCAGCAAGGAAATTGAGCACGCTTATGTGCGAACAGCTTCTGCATTGATGGACGACTGGGACACAGTACTGCATTTGTACCGGTAATGAGCAAATCGTTGAGGGTATGTACACATAACCAAAAGATCCGAATACGTAGAATGTGAATTGGAGTATGGTGATGCGTCAATTGCAAGTTTATATGTCAAGTGGTTAAAATGCAATCAGTGTAAAAGTCGAATACGTTCACGCATGAGCTGTTGGAGGTAGATTGAGCACCGGATTATCTTTTTCTCAGTATGATAACAAGTATATAATTACTGGTAAGCACATATATTCACGAACCAATTGGGTACAATTGAATGGAGAGCATCAAGATGTGTTTTGCGAACTTATATTCATCAAAGCCGTTGATATGCAATCGGCGTGGGAAGTGAACATGCCTACGTAGAGGCACGGGTGCTAGGGGGATGAACCCTCTGACTTACTTAAAATCTAGATCTGCAACATGGGCGTTGCCTGGACAGAAGCAAACAAAATGTCTATCTCCCCCCCCCTCCCCCGAATTTACGAAAACTTGTATTGGATCTATGCCTTTGCGGGTACCTGCTAGCATATCACACTGATCCCTGATCGTTTTTTTTTGCGAGGCTAAGTAGCACAGTGGTACGGGTGCAGCATTCAAACAGGGAAGGCCATTTTCTGTTTCGAGGCTCAAATGTTGTCATGGAGGACTGAACAAGTGGCGAGCGACGCCAGCATAGCCAGCAATGAACCAGGTTCCACGGGCGTACATATTCGCACATGCTGTATATGAGGCTCCGTACACATGACAGTCTGTGGGTCCATATTATCGCGACTTTTAAATCTATGTTCAGAGGTAGAGTTCTTGGAGCCCACTGCTATTTGCATGAAATGCAAAGAGATACAGCAACTGTACGTTGTTCCGCCTAACAAGAACAGTATCACAGAAGCGTATCTTGTTCTGCAGTCCGGTCGGGCTATCCATAATTCTATCCACATGACACTCGGCGTTAAAAATAACAACCCAGATAAAGGTCTCAAGAGCGCAAGATACGTGGCACAACAGTCACGATGACTGTACAGACTGGTAGCGGCCGACCACTGTCGGCCCTGCGCACAGGTATAGACCGAGCACGGGCGGCCCCACGGCGCAAGTACAGAGTGAGCACGACGGGATGTTGGCGGTTACGGACCGAGCACGGCCGGCCTCGCACACAGATACATATTGACCACGCTGGAATGTAGGCGGTTACGGACCGAGCACGGCCGGCCCCGCACGCAGGTTCAGAGTGAGCACGATGGAATGTAGGCGGTTATGGACCGAGCACGGCCAGCCTCTCACACAAGTACGTATTGACAACGCCGAAATGTAGGGTACACAGGCAAGAGCCGAGCACAGCGGTATGTGGATATTATGTACGTCCCGGACACACGGATCGAGCACGACCGACCCTGCAGACAGTTACAGACCGAGCACGGCGGTGTGTACTGCAGCAGACAACAGGCTTACCACGCTGCAGTCACGCTGCTCAGCTGCAGCAAACAACAGGCTCGCCACGTTCGCCACTCAATCGCACGGTGGCACGAACACGGCTACGGGGTCGTGGAAGATCAAGGTGCGTTGTAATGGCCTGCCGCTTAAAGGGAGTAAAACATACTCAAGTGAAACCTCAAGCCCATTGGTGTAGGGACAGGAGGGGCGGGGGTCAAGGGTGTCATGGCTCCCCACATTTCAAGGTGGGGGACAGCAGCGTTAACTGCCCCCCCCCCCCATTTTTCAGATTAGGTTGCGTTTAGCTTACTTTCACACTACATTAAACATACGTGCCGATCTACCTAGTTAACCAGCCTCTCTCAAGATGCGTTATATTTTTCGTTTGCTCATTGGCCATTGCTTCAAATCACAGCCGCAGGGCCAACGGCGCGCAGCCTATGGAGACTGCAACGCTGGGTGTCGAGGCCGTTGTGGCCATGACTTATGAGTGCACATGTTCAAAACGATATTACGTAGAGTTTATCAGCAATCAATTCTGGCTGAATCTTGAAAATTTTAAGACAAACATGTATAAGCTACGTCAGTGCACATTTTGGACCCTGTTCCATCTACAATCTACGATCAGGGAGTCCTCAATAGCCCTTAAGAACACATAAAAATATGAAACTGAGGTCTATGTGACAATTACTGGACCAACAGAAGCGATCAGAGATGTTGTTGCGTCAATGAAGGTTGCTGTATTGATCTGGGGGAAACTGTGCGGGTCAGAAGGCATCCCGTGCCAGGGAAGGGAACAATGCGATCTGATGTATCCTTTTAACGGCCTCCAGATCGACCGGGAGATTTCGCCCCGTTTCACCAGAATGAAAGCCAGAAGACACTTCGCGATGAGACGGAACGACCCTCCAGCCCTTGAGCGGAAACGGTCCTGTGTCGCTGGTGCTCTACTCAAGGCGCGCCTTGCCCGTAAGCACAGACGTGGGAACGTTTCAAAAAGTGGGGGGGGGGGCAAGCTCAGGGCGTACTTCAGGAACTTTTTCTGCAAAACAAGCCCGGTGACCGGGGAGGGGGAGGGGGTAGAGATGGAGGTTATTGCTCTTTTTTCAAATATGATGACTGCTATTCTAGATATGCATCTAGGGCTGTTTCTCACTGGTGCACACTCTCGCCTATTCGACTCATCTATGTCATTCGGGAAATAAGGCTATCCAGATTCCCAAGATAATTCGTCCATTTCAACGTTGTCTTTCATGGGGAGCCGAAATTCCACGAGCGGGTAAGCCTTTTGGGTCATTGAGGAGGCATCTGTCTCCACAAGGCAGATGCCAAAATATGGCCTGAGCAAAGGCTGGTGAAAATTTTGAAAGTGAATCAATGGCTCACAGTACAACAGATTTTGCATGCGCCTTCATTTCGCTGGCTGCTTTTCAAGAGATAAGACTTGTCGCGGCGTTTTAGGCGGAAACAAATTCGGAAGCTTGAAACTGCCAAAAACCATGTGAAAAGGCCATAGAACTGGAGATTCCCATTTTAGAAAACCAAGCCACAGAATGGAGGCCCTTCTGTCACATATTCCTTGTCTGAGCCCTGCTCCCGTCCGCCGCCGGTGGTCACTGTCCTAACCAGGCTGTCTCGGAATGACTGACCGCGAACTGATGGTATGACTGCTTTGTTGCACATTTCTGGGTCAGCATTGCTACTGATTGGGATGTAAAGCACGTGGTGGACACCTGCAGCAATACCTTTTCCGAATTATCTCCCCTTACACCGCACCAACCCAGAAAAAATGGCGCCGCTAAGCTGCCTACTTTAGGTATGAATTGGCCCAGCGGACATCTAATTGCACGTCATTCAACGTAGATGACTTGATCCGCTTTTTTGTGTAGGCAGGAGTTAGCCAGAGCCTTGCTAAGATGAACACAGGGTTGACAAAAGCTCGCTTTAGGGCGATCCCCCACAAAAATATCCCCAGATTTAGTTTATTTGTTAACAAGGGACACGGTTTTCTTCGTTTCGTTGCTATTTTTACGTTGTAACCAGAACAGAAACCAGAAGTTATCGCGAAATCAATTTTGTTTACATTTTTAACATGCGTTCGGGTGGCCGGGTTGATAGCGTTCGTTCAGGTGGGGGTCAGTTTGACCCCCTGAGATCTCGGCGACTAAGAGAGCTAGAAACACTAAATTCACATAATGTGTTGACCTGTACGTGAACTCACTTAGATCAAAGTTTGAGATTCCTAGGTCATGACCTTCGTGTCAAACAATGTCAAACAAAGTCAAATTTCAGGCTGGTCTCTTATGTGCCCCAGAACCTAGATAACTATTTCTAAGCAACATGTCAGACGTTATTTAAGGTCAGCAACCTTGTTAGATTTTTTGAAGGTCATGTTGACCAAAATCATACAACACTGCTCTGATTTTTGCACTTGAATAAGCGACAAAAAATACGCTAGGCAGTATGCTTCTAAAAACAAAACGTTGACCTAGTTTATTTTAGGTCAATGACTTATTCTGACCTCTAAGAAGTCCATGGGAGGTGTATAATACGGTTCCTGCTATCAATAAATTTGAAATGAGCACCAGAAACTGCCCCATATAGGAAACCCTAGAGTAATAAAACAGGTTGGTTTTGACCTTGGTACGACCTTTATACCTGACCATAGGTCAACGTAATTTTCCCATTCAATATTCGTGTTGCCTAGGAAAACATCTCAGAGATGTATGGCTCCGTCTAACATTCCATTGTTGCATCAGATTTAACGATTCCCTAGGGGTTGACTTCGCTGAAACCATGGCCTTACTTTGACCTGCCATAGGTCAGTGACCGTACAGAGTATATCTTAGCTTTTGATGCCAAACGATTCGCTATTCAATTGTCTACAACTATGTAAAACATGGTCCGGCTGCACCGCGCCGTTCGGGGACCGTTCTGGAAAAACCTTTGAGGGACAAGCCAATTTGACCCCCTACTCGAGCGCGTGTTAAAGCCAATAAACTGC